CTGGCCTAAGGGGATCCGTCATTCAAGGCACTGGTCGGAATCACTTATCTGCTGATGTCTCCCCTTCCTTCTATCCCTGGGAGTTTATTTCTTTACTTTAGCAGGACCTTGGATGGTGAAGGAAACAAATGCCCTTGACCCATCTGCCACATTTGACCCAAGTCTTCCATTTTCTCATCCTAAAATTAATTTGCATATCCAGTCAGTAATTATATGCATCTCCTGATGCTGGCCCTGAGCTCAGTGCTGGAGAGATGAAGGCCCAGACAGTCCTCACCTCTGAGAAGCAGGGAAAAGAAATGATGTGCGGGGACAAAGCCTGCACAGTGACATATGTACAGGGATAGTGCCAGCTTGAAATGGTGCAGAGACGGGAGGGGGGATGTGACAAGCTCGGCCGGGACGTTGGGGAAGGCCGTGCTGAGTAAACGAAAACTCTGTGGCTTCGTGAATCCCACTGCTGGGGGAAGGCCGTGACCAGACCGCGCCCATTAATTATTACCGAGTGAGTCCAAGGAAAAGCGGTGTATCCAGCCCAGATCTTCAAAATCACTCTGCTGGCTGGGTGGGCCTTTGCCTCTCCAGGGCCTTCCAGCTGTAAATGGCCCGCTGCTCCCCACCCACGGCCTCCCAGGCTTCCCACGATTGCCATGCACACTTAGAGAAGGCCTTCCCAGGGTGCGTGACATCGCATCTGCCCCTCACTGCGGCCTCCCAGCCTGCGAATAGCTCACTGCTGACAGAGACCTTGTCAATGTCGTTGAGAGGTACTATTGCTCTTTTTTTTTTTTTTATTAATATTGATTTCAGAGAGAGGAAGGGAGGGGGCAGGATAGAAACATCAATGATGAGAGAGAATCATTGATTGGCTGCCTGCTGCACACCCAGCATCAGGGATCCAGCCTGCAATCCAGGCAAGTGCCCTGACCAGGAATTGAACAGTGACCTCCTGGCTCATGGATCATGCTCAACCACTGAGCCATACCAGCGGGGCTCGACTTTCTTATTATAAGGAATTTCACGTATTTGAAATTCCAGCAATGTAGACCAGCTAAAGCAGTGGTTCTCAACCTTGGCTGCACAGTAGAATCACCTGGTAATCTTTTTCAAATCCTGATTTCTGGGCCTCATTCTCCGGAAATTCTGTTTCTTTGTTACTAATGTTGTGGCCCCACCCCATAACAAAGAAACAGAATTTCTATTGAGAAGGGTCTGAATGTCGACCTTTCTTATTGCTGTCAGCGTCCTGGCTTTTTTCTTCGCCACTGGAAGTTATGGGAGCTTCCACTCATTGCCTGTTTCTGTGCAAGGCGGGAACAATAGACCAGGCGGGAACAATAGACCAGGCGGGAACAATAGACCAGGCGGCAACAATAGACCAGGCGGGAACGATAGACGAGGCTTAGCTCTGCAGGAAGGAGTCTCGTTGAGAGGACACTGTGTTTCAGAAACTTTGAAGCAAGCCCATAGGTTTTTATCCCTTGGGTGTTTTCAAATCCATTTTAATATTTGAATTCTCTTAGCCCTCGGTGAACTTGAACTCTGTGAGTGTGCAAGAGGTGGTGTGAGGCAGAAAACAGTAACCTCTCAGTGTGTCTTTTGGCTATACCCCGCCCTGCTGAAAAGGTTGGTTTCTCTTCCTTCTCTTTTCAGTATAGGAAAGTGGCCGAGCCGATGTGTGGCTGAAGACGGCAGCCACTTACAGAAACGCTTGCATCCTTGCCAGTTGCCAACCTAAGGAGCATCACGTGGCCATGGAAATCCAAGTGTTTCTATCCCACAGCCCATCTACGGGAGGCGGATTATATCTCTGGGCAATAGCAGCCAATGTTCCAGTTTCATATTTTTATTGGCATCGTAAACAAACAAGCAGGAGAACTATCTGGGAGGTTGTGTGTGGCAGCCAGCGCAATTCATATCGCATTTCTTTTTGCAGCAACTTAAAGTGAAGAAGTGCTCAGTGGTGTGGCACATAGCATATGGATGTCCTTACTGAATTTGGTCATATCCAGTGAGTAGTGCTATTCTCAGTTCATGCTGGTAACGTGCATAATTCAGTCCATAAAGTGGTGAGTCAGGGTTACCTCGAACCAGTCAGCCAGGAAGCGTGTGAGGAGGCTCCAAGCAGCTTCTCCTGACTTATGGGCACCAAGGATCTCCTTTCGTTTTAAGAACTCGAAGCATTAATGGATGTTCAAAAGGTTGCCCAAGGAAGCATCAGATGTGGACATGATATTTTAGGCCTGATGGGCGTCTCTCTGGAAGTTCTGCTTTCCTGTCAGGTACCAGGGTCTGCATCCTAGACGAAGAGGAGAATCCTGCCTGAGGTGCTTCCAGGCAGCCTTTTTGTCATGGATAGGGTGGCATTTAGAAGCTTCTGGAAGTCCATTTCACCATTCATAATTTCAGGGCATGTGAGCTTAAGTCCAGGTAATGGAAGGTGGTGAAACAAAGTAAGAAAACATTTCAAAACCCTGCTTTGCAAATAGAAGGCAAACATTCTTGATTCTTTGGGAAGCAATATTACAAGTTTGTGTGAATGTCAATGGCCAACAGCATTTTGTTTGGACATAAGATACTTTCTTCCACTTTTCCAGAGAGGTACTGAAATGTGAAGAAGAAAAGAGTAATACAGCCCGGTTCAGTGGTTGAACATCGACCCATGAACCAAGAAGTCACTGGTTCGATTCCTGGTTATGGCAAATGTCCAGGTTGCTGGCTTGATCCCCAGTAGGGGGCATGTAGGAGGCAGTGGTTGATGTTTCTGTCTCTCTGTCCCCTCCCTTCCTCTCTTAAAAAAAAAAAAAGTAATAAAAACATATTTTTAAAAGAGAGTAATACAAATTGTGTGTGTACATCTACACATACAAACTAATAAAAGAAAAAGTAAAGGTAGCTTATGAAGGTAATATTGAAAATATTTCAAAAATTATATAATTTGGAAGCAAAGGAAAGCTTTAAAAGATGCTTTGTGGGAATACTGTTATACTGGGCATCAGTTACAAAAATAAAGGCAAAAGTGGAGGACATAAAAATGTCAATTGGCCTCTTAACTCTTTCCCCTTTATATACACACATTTTAGATTCAGAACGAAGTTCTTTTCTTTCAAAATAACACACCAGATGTCTCTCTGAAAGAATGAGTTTTAATGACTCAGGTTCAGGCCCCGTCTCAAAAGCTAAGCATCTCGATCATCTGTTCCTAAACTTGAAGCAAAATGGTTTTGTGAGTTTTTGAGATGTTTTCCGCACAGACATTTGCAATCATCACCCTGTTCTTTCTCATCGTTCTCCGTTCTCTTCGTCTTCCTGGCTTCTCTCTCCAATCTCTCGTGCCTCACTTCGTTAAGCACCTAGAAAGAGCTTGCAGGATTGGTCTGTCAGTCACCATCTGCACACATGGCCTGCCCAGCATTCCAATGGACCGTTTTTAGGAATAAAACACCTTTCCCTGGTGAGCATTGTCCACTGCCTCCTCTCCAGTGAGCACGAGTGAAGTGCACAAAGCGTTCCTCTCCGAAATGTGGACATACTTTGGGGCCACAGCAAGCAGATGAGTGTGAGTATGGGCTGTGTTTGAAAACCAGGTTTCCCTTGAAGAGTGGTTGTTGTCCGTGTATTTGGAGAACCACGGGGGGAGTTCTAGACCAGTGACCTGCAGACAGTCTCAGCTACAGCGTGACCGTTGTAGGAGAGCAAATGCTGACTTACTCTCTGTCCTCACTTGTGCTGTCAAACCCTTGAGATCCGACTTGAAGGAGCCATTCAGAGAATCTTTGTCTCTTGTTTCAGAACTTGGCTTTCAAGGACCTACAATGGCAAAGACCCAGAAAGCAGGGTTTGTGAATAGAATGTCCCAGAAATTCTTGGCAGAGGAGAAAGAGTCAAGTGAACGTGACGTGATTAGCACACCAGGAATAAGTTTGCCACCGCTGTCCAGTTTTAATCTGCCAGTGGGAAGCCTTGTCGATTGATTTTCATGCTATCCTTTTGCCCCCGTGCTCCTCGCCACTGTGCCTGCACCCCTGCCCATCCCCTGTTAACGCCTTTTGGAGTTAATGGGTGGATCTTCTACCGCGTGCAGGAAACACTTCCTGTACCAAGGTGCTGGAAACAACATCTGTCGTTACATCAAAGCAGGTGTGACTGCCAAGTGCAGCTGGAAGAGTTATAACAATGCGATGGTTTTAAAGGAGGTTAAAATGAAAAGAAATCTGTGCGCAATGTCTGAACCTTTTTCTGAGAAAACAAAAATGCACTCCTCTTCCTCCAATCTTACTGCATAAACAATTGTGTTTGCATATTTAGCAGTGCGGGTGTTTTGGTGGTTTGTTTGTGTGTGTTTTTTGGTGCTGTGAGAAGCAGCCTTCCAGAGGCTGCTCTGGCGTTGAATTCTGTGTCTTGGAGAGGAAAAGCCCCTCTGAAGAATGTGGTGTTTGTGGATTCCAAACCAGTGTGAGGATTTCTGATCGAGAGCCTAGAGAAGATATAATAAACTCATTCTACAATTAGAACGTTGAAGAGCTGCCCTCCGGAACGTGAATCCCAATCCAGAAACGTGCTCAGCAAACAAGAACAATGCCCCGTACATTTTCAAATTGATGGCTCTTTCCAATGGCAACTAATTTGTTCCAGCCTTGAAGTGAGCATAATTAACAGAGACTTTCTTTCTTAGGCCGATTAACCACCGAAAACCATGCCAACATTGTAACCGTGAGCAGTGAAAACCAATATTTATGAGGGGGATTGTGCAAGAGTTTGCGTGACAGATGGACATTTTATCACTGTTGATGTTTGGAATTCCCTTGAAAAGTAATGCAATATCTTGTTATTTGCGAATGAATGGACAAACGATTGGGCTTTGCATAGTTTTCTTTAAAAAGAGGTATACTACTAGTAAATTAATTTTTTTCTCTGTCTAGCCTTTATTAGTTTATGTTAGGTAGGCTCATATATTCTGATGCAAAAGCTGAAAATCATAATTGTGTTTTTTATTACAGATACAGATCCACGTGTTTTAGAAAAACAAGAATTACAGCAGCCAACCTATGTTGCCCTCAGTTACATTAATAGGTAAGCCGTTTACAGAATTTATAGCAACCTCATATCTGCCACATGCTTATTTTTTTCACTGTAACGTCTGACAGTAGAAACAATGTTTTCAGTTTTAAAATATTTACAGGAGAGGATTGAAAATCAACCTTTATATGGAATGTTCTTGTGTCTCTGTTGGGGAGATGCAGGAGGTAGTTAGTTCTCTGTGCATATGGCTGAAAACGACTGATTTATAAGCTCATTCGGGAACTATTTTGTATGCAGAGTTCGAATATACTCTTTGGACTTCATAGGGCAGTCTGGGAGATTAATGGATTTATGTTTGAGGGAAACTTTTAAACGCTGGGGTGAAGAGGCATTTTATGAATTAGGACATTGTTGGAGTATCAGAACATATCAGGATATAACACATTGAAATAATTCAGTATCAGAAAGCTATTTAGTAGAAGCTCATCTTTGAGTAAAAACGTTGTCAGCAACTGAACTATTGTGAGTGTTTACTGAAAGTGAACATGTGAGCACGAGTTTGGAGAACAGTTAGAACTTGACCTATCAAGTCTGAAAGAGGACTTGGTGTTTCAGCCAACTCAGATAATTTAAGGAGACAGTGATTTCTGGAGAGAACCTGAAATCAGCTTGGGTAAAGAAAACTCACACCCCTGAAGAGAGAAAAGCAAAGCACAAGCAAACTGGTTTTTAATGGGAACGACAAACTCTGCTCGTAATTCAGTGCATGACTTTCTATTGACTCTCCCTTGTTTATATACAACAAAGCGTGTGTTGGCAGTCATTGGTACCAGAGCTGAGGGTCAGGGTCTGAAGTGGAAAGCTGGGAATGAGTTACTTGTACTGTTTCATTTTAATGCCTTTTTAGAAAACTCGCTTCAGTCTTGTCTAGAGAGAGCTTCGGAGTTGACTGAGCTGTGTCAAGTTCTTTTATGAAGCGTGTTTTTAAAGGATTCATTAGCATAAGCATCTATTTGCATATCTGTTTTGTGCTTCCTACTTATCAGCTTTCCCTGAAAGTGAGAGAAAAGATCTATAGTTTATCATGACCCATAATTTTTGAGATGTTTAAAGTAGAACACCTTTAAAATCACATCAGGTACAAATAAAGATGTATATGTGTTATTTCCAGTGATTAGCATGGTTTGGAAAAGTCTTTAATTATACATTAGAATTATGTGAATGTTAATTAGCCTAGTTATAGTGAAGGATGGGATAAATAGGCTTATAGATTAACTGTGGTATTAGGTAGAACTTTTTAATGATGAGGCTATTGTGTTTTAGGTAAAATATGTTACCTGGATATATACAAATTCATGTGATACCAAGCCTTGTTCTAATAAGAATCTATGAGGTTTTCACGTTCATTCTTCCTGCTTAAATTGTCAACCATGATGGCAGCAAGGATCTATTCATTACACAGGTGTTATACTCACTAAAGAAATACATACTCTGGCCCTAGCCGGTTTGGCTCAGTGGATAGAGTGTCAAACTGCAGACTGAAGGGTCCTGGGTTCGATTCCAGTCAAGAAAACATGGTTCAGTGGTTGAGCGTTGACCTATGAACCAGGTTGTGGGCTTGATCCCCAGTAGGTGGCATGCAGGAGGCAGCTGATCAATGATTCTCTCTCATCATTGATATTTCTATCTCTCTCTCCCTCTCCCTTCCTCTCTGAAATCAATAAAAAAAATATTTTAAAGAATATTCTTAAAAGAATAAATACTCTGCCAGGTGTGATTTGGGATACACAAGAAGTCGAATAGGGACCAGGGCCACATACAAAACACTACCAAAGAACTTGACTCAAGGATGATAATTTAGCATAAACTGTGCAGTGGAATATGCCTGAATCCTAGAGAGTTAGCGTAATCAGTGGGTGTGAGATTTCTTGGATGAGTCTTCTGGGAGAAAATGAGTCATTTTTTAAAATAATCTTTTATTATTATAGCCATACAGCATTATTACAGCATTGTAGAAAATTATAAAGTATAATCAAACAAAAAAATTTTTTTAATTAAAACGTCACATTCCCACCACCCAGCTATCACTACTAATAATACCTTAACACATTTCAGGTTATTAAAAAAAAAACAACACAAGAAAACATGGTTCAGTGGTTGAGCGTTGACCTATGAACCAGGAAGTCACAGTTCAATTCCCTATCAGGGCACTTACCCAGGTTGCTGGCTCAACCCCCAGTAGGGGGCAGGCAGGAGGCAGCCAATCAATGATTCTCTCTTATCATTGATGTTTCTATCTCTCTCCCTCTCTGAAATCAATAAAAATATATTTGGCCCTAGCTGGTTTGGCTCAGTGGATAGAGCATCAGCCTGTGGACTGAAGGGTCCTAGGTTCGATTCCAGTCAAGGGCACATGCCCGGGTTGCAGGCTCGATCCCCAGTAGGGAGCGTGCAGGAGGCAATCAGTCAGTGATCCTCTCTCATCATTTATGACAGCTAGTCAGCTCCCACTTACTCTTTATGTTTCAGTTCAAATGTCTTTCTTAACGTGCCTTCCTCTAATGAACTAATATAAACTAACATTTATCACAGTCTTTACCTTTGTATTTATTTGTGTATTTATTTGTATATATATTTGGGGGGGAAAACGGTTTTGCAACCTACTCTGTAGTCATTGATCTCTCCATTTCAGTACACTTGAATGTAATCTATATCTAACTCAGATCATATTTAGATTTTCCCGGATAAAACAAACAAATCCTTTACAGTTGTCTGTCTCATCCAGTGTCCAACCCAGAACACTGCATTGCACCTACATGTTTTTCCCTCGTTTCTTTTAACCTGGCACAGTCCCTTCAATTGACAGCGACCGGAGAAGGGTCAGGTGTCCCACCTGAGGCTCCTTCCTCCCGGGTTTTCTTTTGATTGTCTTCCTGAAGATGTCATTTAGTGAGTTCCTCCATTTTCTATATTTGCTATAAACTAGAATTTGGGTCTGGAGAGGATGCATCTTGAACCCATCACATCACTGTATTTAGAGGCCTGAGAAATCAGAGGACTTACCACATGCCATCTTAGCTGATAAAGTAGACTAGTGTATGGAGATTGACACTTTTACTAGTGACTTCTAGGTGAAGGGGACCGTGTATGGAAGGTTGCCCAGGTTGCTAACAACCCTCCTCTCTTGGGAACCCTTTCTGGACAGTGCCACATTCATAACATGGTACTTAACACATGGTAGACCCTCTGGATGTTTGTTTGTAGATGGTAAATAAACACCTAGTAAATGGAAGAGGGCAGAGCAACAGGCAGCAGCATGGAGGAAGCCACGTCTGGCCAGAGGGAATATCTGCTTAAAAGGAATCATTAGGGCCTTTGTTACAAAAGGGATGCCTTGGACGTCACGAAGCCAGTATGGATTCATGAAGAGACCAATGTGGGTTAAAACGAGAAAGGAAGTCTGCTTAACAGCAATATCCTGACTACAGCAGAAAGGAGGACTATAAAAAAATTGAACAAGTAAAAGATTTTTTTTCTTAAACCTCAGGGGAAAATAAAGTCTAATTTTGCTGACCAGTGAAGGCAGGAAAAGAATTAATATTTCGCTGCTCATATATCCATTTGTCCAACTCTAATGGACTTTTGGATGTGTCAAAATTGAGACGAAACTTTCTTTGGCAATAACATTGACTGTAATCAACAGAGTTTGGATCCTTAAAATGGAGCTACCTTTTTGGATTATGAAAAGAATTGAGTAGAAATTGGATCCTTTATTTATGTCTATTTAATGTTGCTTCACTCTCTTGAACATAATGTGCCGGGAGCCGGTCCATGCTTGCTGTTTCAAGGGACCTGGCATATATGGCATACTGTTCTTAATATGTTTGCTCACCTTCTTGGCACTATGTGTTTTAACCAAGGTCTCTGAGAAAGGTTGTTTCCCCAGGTAGGGATTTTCCCCTGAAGTTAGGGAGGGAATAAAACCTCTTAACTAAGTGCCAGGTGGGTAATTAATCACTTTAACTACGAACAATCATGCTTAAGCTACATAATCTTTACTCCCTGGAATGGAGATAAGAAACGCCCTAACCTTTGTAATAGAGATTGATAGGATTGAATCAACTGGTATAAATACAGATGTAATAAGACAGCAAGAGACAGAACTTAGAATACAGAACCAGAAGAAGACAGAACGAAGAACACAGAACCTACTCAGAACCTAGAGACAGAAGAACTTCGCTGGAGAGAACATGGCAAAAGATCCTGGACTGAACCTGACTACAGAAATTGGCAAGAGAACCTGACTAGAACCTGGTGACTGAACCTGGCTGGAGAACCTAGCGAGGGAATATGGCTACAGAACCTGCCTGGAGAACCTAGCAAGAGAACATGGACACAGAACCTGGCTGGAGATCCTAACCAGAACTTCGCTGGAGATCCTGACCAGAACTTGGCTAGAGATCCTGGCTAGGCTGCTGATCAACTGAATGCTATCTCCATGTCATTCCTTCTTCGCCGACTCCGTCCACACCTTTGGGGACCCCTGGACCTGCTGGGGTTGGACCCCGGCAATAATGTGTCGAACAAACCTTTAATTCCTTCAAAAATAGATCTGTTACAATACCTGCACACATTTAAAACAGAAATAGTTTAATGAGAATGAGGGAGACTGAATGAATTAGTGAAGGTTGTGGGAATAATTCTGCAGAGAAAAAAAAAGATGGATATAAATTGTAAGGATAGGAAGTTCTGCTAATTCTGTGATGTGAGGAACAATGACAAGTCTGTGTAATGGGAAATTTAATTGTTTAGTCTGTATATTATTTATGCATCTGGAAAATAAAGTGTAAAAGACAAGAAGAAAAACTAGAAGATTTTGAATGCGAGAATATGGAAGAAATAATACTAGGAAAAGCGAAAATAATACTTTTACACCTTGTGCTATGATGATCTCCATTTTACAGGTGCAGACGTTGACAGTCAAGTTAAATAACTTGCCCTAGTTCAGGGCGGAGGGGGGATGTACTGGGTTCAAATCTGCCCCATCAGGC